AGCCAGGAGCCAGGTGCTTTTCCTGGTCTCCCATGGGGTGCAGGGCCCAAGCACCTGGGCCATCCTCCACTGCATTCCCTGGCCACAGCAGAGGGCTGGCCTGGAAGAGGGGCAACCGGGACAGAATCCGGCGCCCCGACCGGGACTAGAACCCGGTGTGCCGGCGCCGCTAGGCGGAGGATCAGCCTAGTGAGCCGCGGCGCCGGCCACTGAGTGTCTATTTTTAAGAGACAGTTGCCTTATACATACAAACTGTTCCCAGATGATTGGCATGGGGCTGCTGGTGTTATCTTAGCCTCTGGTTCTCTATGGGGGTAATCTCTGAGGGGTATGTTAATAGACAGGCCTGGCATTCTTTTCTGCTTCATGTAGTAGAGATTTATCAATGTCTGAAAGAAGTATCAATTATCAGACACTGAAGAACATTGGCTATAATTAAAGACTTCTTGAGCTTTTTATCTTTCAGTACTTTGAAGATTAATTAAATGAAGGAATTTAGAAACAATTTTTTTTAACTTTTATTTAATGAATATAATTTCCCAAGTACAGCTTATGGATTACAATGGTTCCCCCCCCATAACTTCCCTCCCACCCACAACTCTCCCCTTTCCCTCTCCCTCCCCCCTTCCATTCACATCAAGATTCATTTTCAATTCTCTTTATATACAGAAGATCAGTTTAGCATATATTAAGTAAAGATTTCATCAGTTTGCACCCACATAGAAACACAAAGTGAAAAATACTGTTTGAGTACTAGTTATAGCATTAAATTACAATGTACAGCACATTAAGGACAGAGATCCTACATGAGGAGTAAGTGCACAGTGACTCCTGTTGTTGACTTAACAAATTGACACTCTTGTTTATGGCATCAGTCATCACCCTAGGCTCTTGTCATGAGCTGCCAAGGCTATGGAAGCCTTTTGAGTTCACCGACTCTGATCATATTTAGACAAGGTCGTAGTCAAAGTGGAAGTTCTCTCCTCCCTTCAGAGAAAGGTACCTCCTTCTTTGATGACCTGTAGAAACAATTTTTAACTTCTTATTTTTGTAGGACTATTATCATAGAGTTTAATTGATTTTTATGTTTTAGTTACTGAAATTTCCTCCTTTCTTTCTAATGTAAGCACCAAAGGAATACCTTTCAAGAAAGAAATGTTGACTTTTAAGAGGACACGTTTCAGTTTTGCTTATCTTTTATTGACTTTGTATGTATTTGCTTTAATATTTATACTACAAATTACCCTACAAGTTCTGTTATCTTAAACTAGCAAACCAAAATGATTATAATGTGCACTGGAGAGGGTTGTACTAAATATAAGGATGCATGTGACTCAACTGAAAATGCCATACTCTTTTTTTTTTTTTCATGTTCAATGCATCTTTGAGCTCATCAGGAGATCTGGTCCTCAATATCAAAATATTTTGTTTTATAAGTTGATACATAAGAAAATAAATGTGTTTCCTCACAACTAGTGAATCTTTTTATAGTCTACATTGATGACATAGAGAGAATACTGATGTTGAGAGAAGAGGTCATCATGGCTGATGTGAATGGTCTCATATGAGGGAGCGATTCTTAAGTCTCCAGGACAAGCACTTGACTTGCATCTTATGAGAACTTTCTGTGGCAGGAAGAACATAGGCTTTGACATCACTGACTGGGGATAAAATTCTGGTTCCATCACTTTCTAGTTGGCTCTGATTTCTAGCAAGGTACTTTGATCTTTTGATTCTTGGTCTCCTATCTGTAAAGAGGAGGTCAAGATTTTTCATAGACGATTATTTGGTATACAGAAAACAGTTATTATAGAAATCACTCCACTGTGGTTTCCTGGTAGGATATGGAAAGCTGTCTTTTTCACTGGATTTGTTTCAGGTTTAGGGTTCTAGAATGACTTTTTTTGGATTGGAAGGACTACATTGATATTTATGTTTTTGGTCAGATCTGGTATTTGATTCTGGGCAAATTTGTGAGATATTGCTAGATTCCTATCAGTTTTTTCTAAGTCTAACTCCTGATTTGAAGTTACTCCGATTTTTAAGTGTCTTCCAGTTATGCAATGGCTTGCTCTGGATCTGTTTTGATTTCTGCTTTAGAATGGAATTCTAGGATGCTAGGCGATAAGTCTTACCACACGGGCAGTGACAGAGCCATTTTTCTTTCTCAGAGTGATTATTTTTTATCTAGTTGGAGGACAGAAAGGTCTTCTGTCTATAAATGTTCATGGAGTGCCTTCTCTGCCATGTATGATTCTGGGACCTAGGTATACAGCAATGAATAAACTTGAGAAAGTTTTTTGCGCATCTGGAGATTAAATGCTACATTGCAGCGAGGCATTGATTAGGGATAAGTATGTCAGAATATATAAGTAAACATTTTCATGGATTCACACCGATAAAACAGAATAATAGGGGCGACTTGGGATTTGTGATTGGAGGTCTCTCTTAGGTGGTAACATTTTATTTGCCTACTAATTATTCTAACCCATATCCTATTTCTCCTAGTTCCTGCCTATTCCCAAATTCTAATCTTCCAATCTGGTGATTGCCACTATGACTTGGTGAAAAGTTGGGAGGGGAATTGTGGGTGACATATTTTTGGAAAGGAAGATTGTTAATGGGGGAAGAAGGGTTTGTATGTACCCATGCCTGCTGACTTAGTCAAATCAAGCCAATTTCTTCTTTCAGTCTTTGAGTTGGGCTACAGAGCAGAATCTGTCCCTGGGGAGGAGTATTATAAGTTTTTTTTTGTTTGTTTTAAATCGCAGATGCAAGTATCAGAAGAAGCCTTTTGAGATTATGGTAGAAGACAGTAGTATGAAAGACTTGCTAGGTCAGGGTTCAATTATTTTCTCAAAGCAAAATGAATTAGACAACCTTATGAACTGATGCTCAGAGCAAAGAATTGAGAGATGAGTGTGTGTGTCTGAGAGAGATTGTGTGTGTGTGTATCTGTCTGTCTGTCTTCACCTGATGGTGAGAGGAGAGGAGAGGGAAGGCTGCTAAGGGAGGGAAGAAATAAGTTCAACTGGACACTGCCTGGTTGAAGCATAAAACATTTTGCAAATTTTATGCTGTACTTTCTGGCCTCTCTTTTTGAAAGATTACTGCCTTAAATGTTAGTAAGGTGATGTTAATTTTAGCGTTAACAATAATTATAATGTTTTATGAGCCTGTAGGATAGGAAAGGCTTGTAAATGATACAAATATAATGGAATAAGATAATGAGTGAGGTAACTGCAGTTTTGCATTTCTCAAAGGACAACACAAGAATGGAATTTTTATTAGAGTATCAAAGAAAAACGAAGCACTGACACCAGTTGTAAGAGGGAAGTCAAATGTATAATAGTTGAAAATCAAAGGAAAGCTGATAGGCTAAAATAGGTTGTATCTGTGAGGACAGACAATAAAACTATTTCCTATATAACATAGATGGGAATTCCCTGAACTAACGGAGATGAAGGTCATGTGTGGCTGGCTTAAGTCTGAGCACCCTTTTGTTTCCTTTCTCTGGGTTATAAAGCCTCTGTTTGAAAAGGAAACTTTCATTGAGTTTTCCCTCCTATCTTTAGTACAAGTTTTCAGGAAAAAGAAAAAAAAATCATTTGCTCTGTAGAATGCAGTTCTTAGACTCTCACTAGAGGGTGGTGTTGTTTCTAAAACCAGAGGTCACCACTAATCCAAAGTACATTCACTGCTGCGCTGCGTTTATGTTTAAACAAAAGGTAAAGTCCAACCTCCTTAGCCTCCCCTAGAAGTTGGCAAATGCCAAATCTGAAACTTTCCAACGGCCCAATCCAGTTCTGGCTGTTTACAACCCCAGAGGAGCCAGGTGGAGTGGTGAAGAGATCGCTGGAGGAGCTGGGAGGCAGATTCTAATTTCAGCTCTTGCAGTCACCTGTGGACAAGCTGGCTGGGGCTTTCTCTTCCATAAAATAAAAAGGCAGCTCGAGACGATCCTTAAATCATTAGGCATCTGTAAAATTCAGATATTCTAACAATGTTCGGATCTAAAAGGCTGAAGAATTTCTTACCCTCTTGGCCAGACTGAGAAACAAAGTCTTAACATACTAATAATTAAAATACATTTAACGTTATGTGAAGTTTAACATAGATTCTACTCTCAAAAACGCCTCTAAATTAAAACGCCAAGTCTTCCCTTCTACCAGAGCGCCTTAGAGCCTTGCTTTGCACCTGAGCATTCTGTGGCTAATTTCAGCGGTTTAATGTGTCATGGGAGGATCTCTCTATTCTTGGGCACTAGCTTGCGGGAAGGGAGCAAAGTATGCTTATATAGGATTAGAGAGAGGAGGTTTCACCATCGTCAGATAGGGACGTTTTAAGACAGGGACTGAACCCCTCCCCGCCCCCCCGCACCTTCTATTTTTCTGACTTCCCTCTTATCTGTGCTTTTTAAAGTCGTTCTCCAGGTGGATTGAGTTAGCTCAGTTGCCTTATATCTTCCGTCTTTCTGACTCCCTTTCTTGGTCACATTTATTCACCCTGCGGAGTGAACTTTCACGGAACCTGAAGCAGAATAGGGAACTGCAGGGTCCCAGCAAACCCTAGCTTCTCTCTGCATGGGCTTGGCCTGTGGTGAACCCCTATCCAAACGAAGCTTCATTCGGGCACCCTGTGCGATTTGACATTGGTACGCCACACCCCGTTTCCTCCAAGCCGCCTTGTTTTCGCAGGGAAAGGTTTCCTTGTCCCCACCTCCCACCCCTCCCGGGTTTCGTTGCCTCTTCGAGGTCTGAACTTCCTAAAATACTGCGGGGCGCCTGCGGGGGCGCACAGGCGCGCGCGGCACCGAGGGCCCGAGCCGCGCGGGGCCGGCTCGCGGCAGCCGAGCGCGCCCCATTCTTGGCGCTGCGGCACACCCCTCCGCAGTGAGGATTGGTCGCGCCGGACCCCTCGGCGAGGCGAGGCTCCTGAGAGGCCCACACGCCTGCCAATCCCCACGGGCTGTCAAAACAAGTCTTCCTCCTTGTCACAACAGAGCGGAGTGGAGGCCGCCGCCGCGCTTCTTGGGGCCGCCGCGCCGCGGTCGGCGGGCAGGTGGCGGGTGCACCCGCCCGAGTCGCCGGGTTCCGGCCCTTCCAGGGCTGCGCGCGTCCCGGCTCCGGAGGCCGCCTGGCCGGGAGCCCGGTGCCTTTTGTCTGGCGCAGAGCGGGCGTTTGCATCACGTTTCGGATACATCCCTCCGCTTTCCTCCTCTCCAGCTCCTTCCCGCTCACATCTCCTCCCCACCCCCCGCTGCTGTGCCCCGCCGGACTGCTGGCCTCCGGGACCCCCGCCCGAGGACATCTCTCTGTCCTGCGATGGCTCCTCTCCGGAAAGTTGCTACCGCCGGCCGGTGAAACAAAGTCTGACGGGGCCGCCTCCCGGGGCAGGAGCGCACCCGTGCCCAGCCGCTGCTGCCGGGAGTGTCGTTCCTCCTCGGGGGCCCTAAACGAGACCGGCCATGGCCGAGGGCGCGGCCAGCAGGGAGGGTCTGGTGCCGCTGGACGTCGCCGGGAGCGAAGACGACCCCCGAGCGGGCCCGGACCCTGGCTCCGTGGACGCCGCGGCAGCCGCCGCTGGGGGCCGCCTGAGGGACCGTCGCAGCGGGGTCGCCCTGCCGGGCGCCGCGGGAGCCCCAGCAGACAGCGAGGCAGGACTTCTGGAGGCGGCACGGGCGACCCCCCGGCGCAGCAGCATCATCAAGGTAACGGGAGCCGACCAGCGCCTGGAGCGCCGGGCGCGCGGTGTGGGTGGTGGGCGGATCGGGGACTGGGCGGGATGTGTGATGTCCCGAGCCGGTGCAGGCTCTGCATTGTTTTCTCACGCCTCCTTCGCCGCCGAACCTTCCTTCCTCGTCCGGAGGTTCCCAGACTCCGCTCTTGGCCTTGAGAGTCAGCAGTGACTTTTATCCCCGGATAGCGGAGAAAAAGTTCCTCTCTGCGTCTTTGCGGTTTGATGGATGCTTTCGCGTATTTTCTCTGCAGGCTCCACTAAGCCGTGGAGAGAAGGAGGGCAGGGAGGACTCAGGATAAATGCAGACCCTCAGGATGGTTGTGTACTGCTCTCGGGCGAAGGGTTAGTGTTTCCTGCACAGTAAAGGAAACGCATAGCTTACTCTCAAGGGGGAAAAAAAATCCCCTCCAGACTCGAACGGTCCCGAAATCCCAAGGCGCGTGAACTTTGCCGGTATGCAGGTAGTTTTGGGCGGATACTGAGAGCGCCTAGTTTTTGCACTGCAGAGAGCACAACTGAAAAGCAGTCAAACCCCAGGCTTCGCCCTTGGTGGCTGCGGTTACCACCACATCCCCGGGAACACGCTTCCCCACCCCGGACCACCCCACAGGCTCGCTCGCTCGCCTTTGGCAGGCGATTTGTAAACCTCTGGCATCTCCTATGTCTGTCGGCCTTCCATCTGGGGTTTGTCTTTGAGATTTCGTCTTTTGGGTGCATGACTTGGAGCGGAAAACCCTTGCACAGACTGTGCACAAGGGATCAGCGTTAATGTATGTGAGTAATGATGTACATGTGAGTTTAAAAATCGATTTTGGTCACTGTCAGAAACTATATATATATATGTACATATACACATACATTTTTTTCAACGGTGAATGAAAAATGAACTTAGAACTGCTTACTATACAATTTATTGGGTGTGCTCACCCATTCAAAACCCTTGTTCCGGTTTAAGCAGTGTAACCACTCCATAATGCACCTCTGTTTCACAAGCTGCCAGTGCCAGTGTAGGATGCACGCAGAGCACACCCACCTAGCTCCAAGCCTGGTCCAGGCTTTTTCCCCAACACTGACACATGGAATTTAAAACCAACAGGGAGATTTCTGTATTATAAAAAGAGTGGGTGATGATTACTAATGACTTGTAGTAGTTTCTATAATTCTGTGGCTTTTTGGTTATGTGAAAAGGAGTGTTCTACTCCGGGTATGAATTTGATTAAAAGGGAAATAAGCATTTTTTTAAACCTACAAGTCAGAAAGCATATTGTTTTGAAACTTAAAAAAATCGCCATCAGGAAATACATATATTTTAGATTCTAAGATATTGATACTACATGTGATCCTGTATGTGTGTGAAAATAACTTAAAATAGGAGGGTACTTCATAAAGTCTGTTTCTTGTGCAAAAATTTTTGAAATCTATTCATTTTTCATAGTACTATAATACATTTCCATGAATGTTTTGAAGACCCCCTTATATACTCTTATAATGATAAAAAGCAGTGGGCCTCTCTATAATGTAAAACATAATGAATTATAAAGAATATATGAATTCTTGTAACTTTTAAATGATATTATGATGGTTTGTGTTCCCAGAAGCATTGTTCTGAGTAATGGTGCCTCTTTCATTTAGAAGCTTCTTTTTGTGACTGAAAAAGCAGGAGACAATGGAATATCAGCTTGATCTTTGCTCTGTTTAATAGTGAATTAAATAGACATTTCATAAATGACCTTTAAAATTAAAGATACTAGAAAATGAATTTTTATTTCAAATTAGATTTTACTGAAAGGTAATATATACATAGGATTTAAAAAAATAAAGTCAAATCTTGCATAAGAGAATGAAGGGAAGCCTCTCAGTCATTCTGTACTCCCACACTCATAGCTGTTAACACTTTATGTTTTCTTCAAAACATTCCATGCATATATAAGCATATGTATTTATACTTATCTGTGATGAACTATTGAAGCTCCTGATTTACACAATAAAATCTGTCTAGAGCTTTATAGGCCCTATACCTTCGTATTTGACTCAAACAGTTGTGGAATTCCTGGAGGGTTGTTTAAGGTCATTGTCTTGAGCTAAGTAATCTTTGAGGATAATATGCTAGGGCTTTGGTGGGTAGCTGTCATTGGGGTCTATTCCTGGAGGCTTTTATTTCCTTTCAAGGTGGAACGAGGCAGGTGGGCTCCATTCCATTTCCTCTCTGAGCTCAGGAACCTGTTGACATTTTGAATCTGCTGCCCCGACGTTTGCTCATTTTAGCATGGTAAAAATGAGTTTCTAAGAAAAGTTTAAATCATATAAGGGATACATAACACGTGTTCTGTAGTGAGAGAAAATTCAGTCTTCATAGTTTTGCCAAGAGTTCTTTCTATTTGACACTGAAACACACAGTAAAGAAAGGTGTTAGTACGTTTTTGTATTGAAAACTGCTAAATTCCATTCCAAGTAGCCATAGTACAGGAGTAATTGATATTTATGATTCATAACTCTAAGCTACCGAGAGGTTGTAAACCATCAAATATTAATTTATTTTCAGCTTAATTTACGGTATTATTTCTATTCTAAATATTTTAGTGCTGATTCTCTATTAATTAGAGTATTATGTAAATCAAAATAGTGCATTCCTCTATCCTGCCAGAAAACAGACTGTCTTATATATTAATAAAATGAATGTTTTCAGTCAGTTTTCCCTCCCTAATTTGTGAACACATGAATTTAGTTGAGAAAATAACGTCTTTCTGAGCTAAATAAAACAATGAATACACATATCGGTAAACATCTTTGGAAAGTCTTCTTTCTACTACCATTATGCTTCTTTGCCTACATACCAGGTGCTAGGTTTTCAAAGATTTAGTGTGAGAATTAAACTAGGTTCTCTTTAACCTGTATACTTTTTCCCGTGTTTTCTGTGTGATTGTTTTCAGTAGCATTGACATTGATAAATGCTGCATGTTTTTTTGTAAGTGAATTGTTATATATTACAATAATGCAGTTAGGTCCATTTTACTTTCTTCCTGATAACTTTTGGCTTAAAATAATATGTTAGGTATGTATAGAATCTGTAATATCTAAGTTAGGTACTAACCTGCATTTGAATATATTTTCAATTAAGAAATTAGATCATTTATCTGTCATGTACTTGATATCAAACTTAAATTATTTTAATATTCAAGATTATAGTTTACAGTTCTATAACTCCATAATGTTCTGGAAATAGGAAGCAGTGTGGCTTATTCCCTATACTGGGTGATGGGAACTGAGATACATAGATGGTTTAAAGATAGATGATTTTTTCTTTCATTATATGTAAATACTGATGGGCTCTATTTTTCTCCATTTCCTTTTGATTCTACTAAGTACAAATTCTCTAGGCAAGGAAGAGTAGATATTGAAATTGAAATATTGGATTTCATGGACATGATGTATGGGATGAAGCTTGGAGTTGAGAGTGAGGTGCTAAGACCTGTACCAAAGCAGCTAGGCAATGATGAACTTTGGTGTTGTCTTTATCTCATTATTGTATATCATGTCCAATTTCACTGTCATGTTCATTGCAAGGCTGGTGTCATAGGCACACCTTGAGGTATTCTCACTGAAATAAAAATTCTGACTGTCTTCAGAGAGGCAAGGGGGAATGAGTTCACATTAAGTGCTGCCTGCTGTGAGTCAGGTGCTAAACTAGGAGCTTTCGTACATTTCATGCTTAATCCTCACAGCAAACCCTCTCAAGTAGGGAAGGGAGGGACAGAGAGCTGCTCTTAAAATGTGGAATCAGCATTCACAGCCATGTAGAGCTTGTGCTCTTATGCTGGCTCTCAGATGCAGGAAGGCCATGATCCACGAATACTTCTATGTCAGAAAGAACCTGAACTGTGACAGAGTGACAGAAGATTTGCATATTGGGTTTTAAGTCTTGTGAGGGTAAATTATCCTTTCTCTACCCTCCTGCCTCCCCCTCTCCTCCCTTACAGGGTATCTGGTGTTCAATGGCTTGAGAAAGGAATTATAACCTCTCCTGTATTTGGCAATTTTTTTTAAGTCTGTGCTGTATTTGAAAAGGTGGAGCAACTTGGCAGGTGCTCTGCTTGGTGTCATATCTGTTGTTGTATACCAAGCCCACTCCCCACCCTGCCCCTGCAGACAGTATAGTTTGTGGAGGACTGTGTTCTCTTTTTGATTGAAACACAGATGGAACAAATGCCTGGGATATAGGAATATGTATGAATGAGAAAATTGGGATGTCTTCATTTGAAACTTCAAAAATTTTTATAGAGATAGTTATAAAGGAAAAATACATGTGATTGAGAAATTATGTAAAAATTTTTGACATACTGTGAGTTATGTAGGTTTTTATAGGTTGACCTGTGAATTTATCAAAACTTAATAGACTTTTTCCTTCTTCTTTTTTAAAAATATTTATTTGTTTCTTTGAAAGGCAGAGTTTCAGGGTTTCAGAGAGAGAGAGAGAGAAAGAGAGTGCCTGAAACAGCTGGGGCTAGTCCATTCTAGAGCCAGGAGCCTGAAACTCCAACTGGTTCTCCTGCATGAATGGCAGGGGCCCAGGCATTTGAGTCATCTTCTGCTGTTTTCCTAGGCACATTAGCAGGGAGCTGGATTGCAAGTGGAATAGGCAGGACTTGAACTGGCATTTGTGGGTTACTGGCATGAAGGCAGCAGCTTAACCTGCTGCACCACAATGCTGGCCCTGATGTTTTTCCTTCTGTACTAGTATGTGTTGAAAGTTCAGAATAAACAGCCTATGTATACATTTTGGAAAACAACCTGACTATACAACAGAGTTGCCAGCCTTTACTCTAAAGGGTGTTGAGTCTGTCCTGGTGGCTGCAGTTGGGTTCTTCTCCTGAAAGATGATTGAACTGTTTCGGTAGCATTGGACCTCCTTTGTGGATTTGGTTTATTATCCCAGAAAATTCAGTTGGATGTTTACTTTCTCTGAAATTGCAA